GAAATGTCACCTCCTCTGAGAACCCTTCTCTGGTTTCCTAGAGCTAATCTTGTGGTGGTGGTGGTGGTGGTTGTTAGCTGCTATCAAGTCAGTTCCAATTCACAGGGATCCTGTTACAACAGAGTGAAATGCCACCCACCCACGTGTCCGCCATCCCCACAATCGTTGCTGTTTGAGCCCATTGTTGTAGCCACTTTGTGAATCCATTTTGTTGAGGGTCTTCCCCTTTTTCGCTGACCCTCTATTTCACCAAGCATGCTGTCCTTCCCCAGGGACAGGTCCCTCCTGACACCATGTCCAAAGTGCTTGAGATGAAGTCTCACCATCCTCACGCCTACAGATTATTCTAGCTGTACTTGCTCCAAGACAGATTTCTCCATTCTCCTGGCATTCAGCATCCTTTGCCAACAGCATAATTCAAATGCATCAGTTCATCTGCGGTCTTTCTTATTCATTGTTCAGCTCTCACATGCATATGAGGTGGTTGAAAATACCTTGGCGTGGGTTAGGGCCATCTTAGTCCTCAAAGCTGCTTCTTTGCTCTTTAACACTTTAAAGTGGTCATTTGTAGCAGACTAGCCCCAGTGCAATACTTTGATTTCTTGACTACTGCTTCCAGAGGCTTTGATTGTGGATCCAAGTAAAATGAAATCCTTGACAACTTCAATCTTTTCTCCATTTATTGTGATGTTGTTTATTGGTCCAGTTATGAAGATTTTCGTTTTCTTTATGTTGAGATGCAATCCATCCTGAAGGCTGTAGTCTGTGATCTTCATCAGTAAGTGCTTCAAGTCTTCTTCACTTTCAGCAAACAAGCTTGTGTCATCTGCATAGTGCAGGCTGTTTATAAGTCTTCCTCCAATCCTGATGCTGAGTTCTTCTTCCTTCCTTCATATAGTCTGGCTTCTCAGATTATTTGCTCAGCACACAGATTGAATAAGTATGGGGAAAGGATACAGCCCTGATGCACACCTTTCCTGATTTTAAACCATGCAATATCCCCTTGTTCTATTTGAATGACTGCCTCTTGGTCTATGTACAGGTTCCTCAGGAAGACAATTAAGTGTTCTGGAATTCCTGTTCTTTGCAACATTATCTATAATTTGTTATGATCCACACAGTTGGATGCCTTTGCATAGTTGACAAAACATGGGTAAACACCTTTCCAGTATTCTCTGCTTTCAGCCAAGATCTATCTGACATCAGCAACGATATGCCTCGTTCCAGGTCCTCTTCTGAATCTGGCTTGCATTTCTGGCAGTTCCCTGTCAATGTCCTGCTGCATTGTCTAAGGGGCCCTTATCATCCTGAAGTTTTTCTTCATGGCTCTTGCAAAAATTTGTGATCACAGTCTTTGTGATTTGACTCATGTCTGACTCTCCCACTGGACTCAGAGACCCCAAAGGGCAGGAACCCCAGGAGGGGTCCAATGTTCTTTGGATTTATGCATGTATAGATAGATGGATAGTTAGATGGGTTGGGCAAAAGGAAGGGAAAGAGGGTAGGAAAGAGAAATAAGAGTACTTGCATAGATGATGTGTAGATGAATGGATGGATGCATGGATGGATGGATGATGGATGGGAGAACGAAAAATGAGTTTATAATTGATTGCTTTCGTTCTCTTGGCTTTTCCAGTAACATCTCAGCCATCTTCCCAATGGACTCTGTCTCCTTAAAGGCCAGCTAGATCCTCCCCTTCCTTGGCATTCTCCCAGGATGCCTGGAACAGGGCATTGCTCTCCAATATGTTCTACAGCCTACTTGGCAGACTGGTTTAGTGGAGGGGGGCCAGGAAGAGCCACTTTACACCAGACCCCTGTGGGAACTTGAGCAAACCACTTAACCTCTTTGAGCTTCAGGGTTTGTTTCTGCGGGGGCTTTTTCTATCTGTAAAATGAGGATATCACTTATCTTTTGGGGTGGTTTTGCAGATCAGTGAGTATTATATAAATGCCCCACTACCCGCCTGTCAGTGTCGTACTGTGGAGGCTTGCATGTGACTGTGAGGCTGGGAGCTATGCCACCGGTATTTCAAATACCAGCAGAGTCACCCAGGGTGGAAAGGATTCAGCGGAGCTTCCAGACTAAGACAGACGAGGAAGAAAGGCCTGGTGATCTACTTCCAGAAATCAGCCAATAAACATCCTATGGACCCAACAGAAGATTGCCCAATATAGTCCTGGAAGAGGAGCCCCCAAACTGCAAGGCATATACAGTGGGTACACCAAAGGACTCAAGTATACCAATGATCATGAAAATGGCACTTACGTGCTGTTGTTGTTGTTCATTGCTGTCGAGTTGCTTCCAACCCATGGCAGCCCCATGTACAACACAATGAAACACTTCCTGGTCCTGCACCATTTTCAATAAACCATAGCCATTGTGTAATAAGTACTGGCCACACCACACAAAAGTGAGTAAGACACAATCTCTGGTTCCATGGCTTCTCAATATAGCAGGAGCAGGTTTAATTTAAATAGCTAATTGTGATCCGACTATCAGGTCAAAGTATGGACAAAAGAGCACAGAGAAAGATTGGTTGAGTCCAGGGAAGGCTTCCTGGAGGAGGTGACATTTAGTCAGGTCTTGAATAGCATTAGACAGGAGATCAGAAGACCTGGGTTCTTCTTTCGAATGTGACGCTAAATCCCTATGTGACCTTGAGCTAGTCTGTTCCCCACCCTGGTGTCACCAGGTCCCCTTCTGTAACACTGGCTCTGAATCTCTTGGGTCCCAGACTCTTTTGAGAATCTACTGAAGCCAGAGAGAGACTTCCTTTCCAGGTAAATGCTCAGGCACACGTGTTTGCCTCAATGGAGTGGAGGGCTTCATGGACCCCCTGGAAACCATCGATGGGCCCTAGGTTACCAGCCCAGAGCACAAAGGTCTGTGATAACTGGAGACCTGGCCCTGCCCTCACATAGACCCTCTCTCTTTGGTCTTTGGCAAGCACAAAGCAAGCAGAATCATTTTTCCGTATGGAAAAACCCATCAGGCACCGGGCTGTCCTGCGGCACAGACCAGGGGGCTGGGCAGGGAAGGGCTCTCCAGCTGCTGAGGGACCTGATTCTGGGAAGGGGTAACCTGCCCCTGACCTCTCCTGGTTTATCACCGGGGACGCAGGAGAGCGTGGGCCGCTCTGGGCAGGCTCCCAAACAGGCCACTGATCCCCGTCTGCTGCCCAGGCTGGAGTTCCCGGACACATCCTTCATCAGCCCTAATCTAAACACCCGCAGGCCCCGGGTGGTCCACCCCCTCCCAGCCATGTGTGTCCTCAGCTGCATCCAGCCAGGCTGTGTGGGAGGGCCTGGCCATTCCATTAACTCTGCAGTCACCACCTGCCTCTGCTTCTACCCAGTCAATGCTCCCAGACCATTTATTGAGCATCTATTGTTGCCGGGAATACAGCTGTGAGCAAGATGGAAGCGGGCCTGCCCTCAGGGGGCTTATTTCTACCAACTTGGAGACTTTCTTCCAAGGCCTCTGCCTCCAGGCCTGGAATCCCCCCTGGCTGGGAGGCAGAATGCTGAACCCCTTCCACTCACCTGTAGCAGGGGTGCTTTGAGGAAGTGGGCTCCAGGCTCCCTAACTCAGTGCTGGCAGAGAATTAGATGTGGATTCACCTTTGGGCAGTATTCTAAACTCCTGTGTGACCGTGGGCCTGCTTCTTACCCTCTCTGGGCTTCAGTCTCTGCATCTGTACAGTTTAGATTCCCTGGTCCAGTTTGGCTCTAAAATGGGCCTTGCCAGCCCTTCCCACCCAGACCACAGAATATTGGAAGGAGCCGTGGAGGCGATGCCTGAAGGCGTTCACATCTTTCTTTAGCCAATCTCTATCATTATTCATTCATTCAAGCATTTATTGAGCACCTATTGTGTGCCTGGCCCAGAGACTGGGCCACAGAAATGCATAGATGACTAAAATTCTAGCAGGTGACCCTGGCTTTGGGACCCGGCGGGCCTAGCCCAGGATTTGGGGAGCCCTGGGACTGGCATGTCAGCGCCGCCAGAGGCGCTTGGGGCGCGATCTGTCTCCTCCCCTTCCTCCTCCTCCTCCTCCCCCGCTGCCGCCCCTCCCCCGAGCGTGGCTGCCGCCGCCTCCCACCCGCGGGATCCCGGCGTCCGGCTGCCTGCTCCTGCGTCCGTCGGTCGGCGGAGCAGTCTGTCCGCGCGCGCGGCCGCCGCGGGGCCTGCGAGGGCCAGGGCGCAGAGGCGAGACCTCGGATCCCTCCAGCTCGGGGGAAGCCTGGGAGGCAGCGGGGCTGAGGCGCGAGCCGAGAGGGAAGCAGAGCGAAGGAGAGGCGGTGAGAGCTTGGGGCGCGCGGGGACCCCACCCCCGGCTCCTGCGGGGCCCGCGCGGTTTGGGGAGGGCTGGTCTGGGGAGGGGACCTGTCACCCCCGAAGAGAGAAGCAGCAGGCGCCACAACTCGCAGCGTCGCCCCCTCTGTGTCGCGACCCCCGAGGGGCCCTGGGCCGTGCCTGCAGCGCCGCACATCCCCGCGCCCTGCACCCCTGGGGGGGGAGCGGGCCCGGGGGAGGGGAGCGTGCGGAGTTGGGGAGGGGGCGCTGCCAGCGGGCACCTCTGAAAATTGCGCCCCCGGCGCTAGCTCTCCCTTTAGGCCTGACCCAAGTGAAAGCGGACAGGGCGACCCCCTGAAGCCCCCCCGCCCCCCCCATCGGTTCCCCATTGTTCTCAGCCTTGTGCTCTCCCGGGAAGGGGGGAGGGGGTGCTGAGCTCTCCTCTTAAAGGGCCCTTTCCCCTTCTTGTCTCGGCAGGTCGCGAGCACGAGTGGGGTGGGGCGTGCCCACGGGCCCCCGCCCCCCGGGCCCCCAGCCCAACTCGGGAGCTGCAGCCCAGGCCCACCTGCCAAGGGTGCGTTCTGCCTCCCCCCACGTGCGTTCTGCGGTCACCAGGCCTTCCAGGACGCCCTGAGAAGGGACAGGGGCGCAGGGGACGCCCCCTTCTGCAGGAGCTGTCGGGGGGCCGGACCCACACCCAGCGAGTAGCCCCGCTGGAGCCAGTCACAGGGTCTGGGACGCAGTTGGGAGCGCAGAGGGCTGGCTGGACGCCACAGGCGGCAAGGAGCCCGCTGGGCCACGGCCTCCTGGGTGACAAGCCCTGCGTGTTGGAAGAATGATCCCAGAGCAGCGGAGAAGCGGACAGATCTAGATTAGGGGCTGCCTCACTCCTGTTACCTGAGCCCAGGGGACCAAGAAATTTTGAGCAATGGCTCCCCCGCCATAAGGAAGACATTTACTGTCCAGGGCAGCACCCTTGAACTGAAACAGCTCTGTGTGGAAGGGGGTCTTTGGAGCCTGGAACACTACCCCACCCTCCTTCCCAGAGGCCTCTAGGCTCCAGAGAGAGCCCCGAGTTAGAAGGGAGGCCCGGACAGCCCTTGCTGCCGCCCTGGGGAGAGAGGACAGTCCCTGCCTGCCCACAGGCCCAGGAAGAGCTGGGCCGAGCAACAGTGGGGAGCTGGCCCCCAAGGCCACAGTGGCCATGTCAAGGCCAGGCCAGGGTGTGATGGTGCCCGTGAACGGGCTGGGCTTCCCACCGCAGAACGTGGCCCGGGTGGTGGTGTGGGAGTGGCTGAACGAGCACAGCCGCTGGCGGCCCTACACGGCCACCGTGTGCCACCACATTGAGAACGTGCTGAAGGAGGACGCCCGCGGCTCCGTGGTCCTGGGGCAGGTGGATACTCAGCTGGTGCCCTACATCATCGACCTGCAGTCCATGCACCAGTTTCGCCAGGACACAGGTGAGCAGGCCCTCTCCCCCCACCCCACCCCACCCCACCCCACCCCAGCCCCTACTGCTAGCTGGGCTGAGACAGACACCACCACCACCACCACCTTCTTCCACCTTCCATGGTGGGGTGCTGAGGTTCCCCCCCCCAGCAGCCCTGAGGACAGAGCCTGGAGCTGCAGAAAGGCCAATCTGCCAGCCCACCTGCTCCCCGGGGACAGTCTGCCCTAGTCCAGCTTAAGACTCAGATTCCAACCCAGCATTCTTATATTAGTTGTAGAGCATGTTACTTCTCCGAGCCTCAGCTTTCTCATCTGTAAAACAGATGGATTTGTCCTCTCACGGCTGCATGAGGAGTAAATAAAATCGTGCTCAGAGCACAGAACCCAGCAGGAAGCACTCCCTTGCTGTCATTTAAGCATTGTGCGTGCCTCTTCCCCTTGGATGGTGTCAGCAATCACAAGCAGTAGGTCTTCGTATTGTAGTATCATTTTTAGGCCCATTTTACAGTGGCAGAAACTGAGTCTTGCCCGAGTTGAATGATTTAAACTCAGAGTGGGGATTTAAACCCAGGCAGCTGAGCCAAGCTTTTAGCTGGTATCCTGTACTGGCCTCAGGTGTTGGTGGTGTTGGGGTAGTTGTGATGGTGCTATGATGACGTCCAGCTGGAGGGTGGTAGTTTGATGGGGGTGGTAGAGGAAGTGGTAGTGATTTTGTCGGTGATGACGTCAGTGGTAGTATTGGTGGTGGTGGTGGTGTGATGGTGGGGATGGGGATGGAGAGAATGATGGTGGCTGTCTTAGCAGTGATGTCAGTGGTGGTACTGACAAGGTTGGCATGGGTGGTATTGGGTGGTGGGATGGTATCATGGGGGGATGGTGGTAGGGATAGTGTTGGGGGCTGTGTCAGCAACTGTGGCATTGGTGGGTTTTGTGGTGTTGATTGTATTGGGGTGTTACAGGGGGAGGTGTGATGATGGAGAGAGTGGTGTTGGTGGCAGTGTGCGTGGTTGTTGGGAGGGTGCCGATGTTGGTCATGGCTCGGAGGTGTTGGTGAATGTACCAGGCATAGTATGATGGTGATGTTGATGGTGTTGGTGCTGATAGGTGATAAAAAAAGATGCGGTCTCCCTCAGCATTTTCATCAGAGTTTGACTCAAGATTTGCCATCACTATGGTGATCTTTCTGAGTCACTGGTGTCCAGTGGTCCCTGTGACAAGCCGGGTAGCAAATCAAGAATAGTAAGATCCTGAGGTCCTGCCTCATGAGGTTGCCAGAGAAACCTTGGCATTTGTGACCCCAAAGACCAAGAACTGCATGTAATAGCCTTGGGGCCTGTAGAATGGTTGAAGCTTTACTTGTCTCCAGGGCTTGCTGTCCACTATGGAAGCAGCCAGCCACATGTGGGTACTGACGTTTAGGTTAATTACAATGAAATGAAACAAAGAATTCAATTCTTCAGCTTTATTAGACACATTTCAAGTGCTCAGTAGCCACGTGTGTGTCATGGCCGCCATATTGGACAGCATATGGCCGCCATATTGGACAGCACTACTTAGAGCATTGCTTGCCACCTACAGGTGGTTACCAGGTCTAGAAACAAGTGGATTCATAGCCACTGGCTTATTGGCATTAATGTCAGTCCATCCTCGTCCCCATAACTCCAGATACTGACTTCAGCCCCTGGTGGGGTCCGTCATTCATGCACACTATCATACTCTGGTTTATTGCGTTTCTGCTTGGTGAATCAGGCCCTGTGATAAGCACTAGCACACAGAATGGAGCAACAACAGAAAGTCCTTGGCCCCAAGCAGATCCCAGCATATCGAGGAGATGGGGCCACGTGTAATCACACAGAGAATCCACTTTGGAAGTGCCCCCAAAGACCACTGACAGCCACTCTGAGGCCATGAGATATACCTGAGTTGGGGTAGTCAGGGGAGGCTCATCTGAGGAAGTGATGTTTGAACAGAGATCAGAAGAATGAGTGAGGGGACAGTGTCCCAGGCAGGGCGAACAGCCTGAGCAAAGGCCCTGAGGTGAGAAGGTGCAGGGTAATAGCAAGGGATGGGAATGGCCCCCAGAAAGGCAGAAAACAGCCCCCAAACCTTTTCCCTTATGCTGGTGGGAGCCAGACCCTGATGGCCTCTGAGCCCAGCTCAGCCACCCGCTGCTGTGCCCGCCCAGGCCAGGTCCTTAGTTTGATCTTCCCATTTGTGGCAATCTTGAATTATCTGTGATGGGGACAAAGGAAGATGGAGAAAGCTGTAGGGAGGCACAGGGTACATTGAAAGCCATTGTAGTTGCAGTACAGAGAATGAGACCAGATGTACAGCCTGAGCAACCACGCAGCGGACTTGGCATTTCATCCTAAAAGTAGGGGACGTCACCGTCGAGTCCCGGCGTCCTCCTGTCCTCCCAGAGCCGTTACTGATGCCCTGATAGAGAATGAGAGGCCTGGTGTCCCCTGATCCATCTTCCTGGCTTATTCCAGACCCTTCTCAGGTGGAAGGCGGAGTCAGAGAGCAGACCCAAACGAGCTGCTGTGGGATCTGGTCACACTGGTGGCGGCCCCAGGTATGTCAGCAGAGCTGCGCTCCACAGGGTTTCAGGGCTAATTTTCCAGAAGTAGATCGGCAGCCTATGAAGGGCCTCTGGGGGGACCCAGCCCTTCTTCCTTGGGCTGGCAGATGGCCGTGGTAATGGTTTGCAGTACCCAGGACTCTCAGGTAGCAGGAGGAGGCGGGCTTTCTCCTTGGCTCGGTGGTCTGGCGATATGCAGACTCAGAGCTAATGCTGAACCGTAGAGGTTTTCCAGAGCCTGGCTTTAGGGGGACCTGAGTGTCTGGGTGATACAAACAGTTAACAAACTCAGCTGCTAACCAAATGGTTGGTGGCTTGAGTCCACCCAGAGGTGGCTTGGAAGAAAGGCCTGGTGATCTAGTTCAGAAAAACCCCCCATTGAAAACCCAAGGAGCACATGTCTCTTCTGACACACATGAGGTCATCGTAAGTCAGAATCAACTCAGTGACAACTGTTAAACTGTTAGAAGCAAGGACAGCGCCTTGCCAAGTTGGCAACTTTGCCTTTGATCCCCACCTCTTTGGGGGCTCCTTTTCTATTCCCAGCACCTCTCAGCTCGGTTCCTGCTCCCCAGGTCCCCAAACTCCCCTCTTTTCCTCCTACTGGCACCCTTCTATGGTTCAGCCTCTCTAGATTCCCTAGTTCAGCTTCAGTCATTTCCCTCCACCCCCACTCCAGAGCAGTTCACTCCCCACCTGTCCCCTGTTTGCCGGAAAAGGGAAAGAAACACTCATCCCTCACTGGGCCCCTGGGCTCCTGCCAAGACCCCCCAGCAAAGGAAACCTTTTAGGGCTGCAGGGGAACTAGGATGCCCGGAAATGTGCTGGAGGGAGGGGCACAATGCCTCACACCACATGTGTTATAATTTGTTCCCCCATTTCAACTGGGAGCAAAAAAAAATTCTCAAGAAAGGGCATCTTGTCCTCATTGTTCATGGTCCAGGTAAGAGGTTGACCCAGCAAGCAGGACACCTGAGTACCAGCCCCTCCTCTGCCACTGACTGGCTATGTGACGTTGGGCAGGTGTCCTTACCTCCTCTGGTCTCAGTCTTCACATCTATACAATGGGCAAGAGCACCATCCCACCAGCAGGGGTGTTGGGTTGATGGAGAGAACTGAGCCTTTATTTTATCCCCAGCCATTAACTGATCACCCACCGTGCACCCAGCATGTACTGGGCCCTGCAGATTACAAGAGAAATGAGTAGTGTGGAGTGCAGACCTTTAGAGATCGTAACACACTAAGACAATAGAAAGTTGTAAAACACAAAAATTGCGTGTATGTGCTGAAATGAACACAGCATCTGTCTAGATTTCCTGATTGTAAAATTCTCAGTAAATGAATTGAACTGAACTTTAACTTTTGCAGGAAGTAGGAGCATGTCCTGCTGGCTCTGCTAGCGCTCTGACACAAGAGCAGAGCTTTCCTCCAACGGCCAGATGGTCAATATTGTAGGCTTTGTAGGCCACACCGCCTTCATTGCAACTGCTCTCTGCTCACCTCTGCCGTTGTAACATGAAAGCAACTGTAGACAAGCCATTAACCAATGAGTGTAGCTGTGTTCCAGTGAAACTAGTTATAGACCCTGAAGTTTGAATTTCATGTAATTTGCACATCATGAAATAGTCTGCTTTTTTTTTTTTTCCTCAGCCATTTAAAAATGCAGCAACTATTCTTAGTTCATGGGCTGTACAGAAACAAGCAGTGAATGACTTTGGCCCTTGGGCTGTGGTTTGCCAACCCCTGCCCTAACATGCTCTTCCTCTGCCAAGACACTTGCAGCATTTGTAGACTGAAATAAACGCTTCGTGGTGTGATCCGAGACATGTGCACACCCGTGAGGCCGAGATGCACGTGTGTGTGTACATGCATGTACGCCAGCTGTATACCCAGCTGGCTATACATGCCCTGTCTGTATGCCTCATGCAGCTACTGGAAGAAAGCCTTGGTGTCAGGCTCTGGCCACAGGGGCAAGGCCCTGGCCCTGCCCCATGGGAGTCCGTGTTTGCACAGCCGTTGCCCCCTCACCTCTGCCCTGCTGGGCTGTTTTCACTACTCCCCACAGTGGGGGCGGGACTACGAGTTTCCCTTTGAAGGCCTTCAGGTTAGGAGCCCAGAGTCTGGGCTGGAGAAGCCCTGTGCCACGTGATGGTGGCCTAGGCGCAGGATGGTGCTATCCCAGGTGGAGAGCTGGAGGGGAGACAAAGGATGAGGCGGCCTGCTAGCTCCAGGCTTCCTGAGCCACGTGTTTGTGCTGTTGGTGATAGTCTTGCCGGCCACGTGCTTTGTCTCCCTAAAGCTTTCCCCATCTTCCTTTGTCCTGATCCATCCCTCTCAGATAATTCATGATTGCCACAAATGGGAAGATCGAGGTAAGGACCTGGCCCCGGGCGACCACAGCAGCGGGTGGCTGAGCTGGGCCCAGGAGCC